GAACCTTGTACGGTAACTGTGATGATCATACTTTCGACCTAGTTAACTTCTAAAACACTGATCAGCGGCACATTTTGTCCATGACGTACAGGGTTCCCGTACATCTTCAAGAATCGCCACTTAAAAAACAACCACATAACAAAATTTAAAGCAACCCAGTTCATTGTATCTGGACTCAGTCTGATAGAATTCCTGTATTAAGTAAGTCAATAAACGATTTACTTTGCGGTATTGTCATCATAACAAGCTAACTATCGTCTATTGTAAATTGTCTAGTTTCCTAAAACAATGGTTTCATTTCGTTCACGATGTGCGGGATCTCTGTATTCTACATGTGTTTCTATGCTCTCATACTCCCGCAAGAGCAGATGTCAGACATACATGATTGTAGTGTCAACGAGGCCATCAAGTAATACTTTCAACGCCGGTTGTTCTGTAATTGCTCTCCGAAATTCAGCTACACGACGCACATCAGCATTAGATGTGCTTGCACGTGCCGAGTAATCGTTATGAACAAGGAATGACGTCGCATCAGATGTTGAAGTGTCAGTGTCACGGTCGTCAGCTCTACAACATGCAACATCGGATTCATATGCCTGTCGTTGCCGCTGAACGGCAGGGGAGGTGCTCTCGCAAGTAGCGACATCGATTTCCAATTCTCTCTTTCTTTTACGAGCAGGCGTGTTGGAAGTGAAGACGTCGTCGCGAATTACATGTTCGGAATCTGGAGAGCACGTAGCGAGGGTGTGCATTTCCGCATGACAATTCTCATCCAGTAATGTGTTAGACGCCACGCAGTCGATACTTGTCAGCGCTGGATATTCAGCTCTCCGATACGAAGTGCCACAAGGCATAATGAGTCTGCGAGGATAAATAAGCTCGTTAATGCACTGAAGGCGAGAACTCGCGACGTATATGACGAAGAGTTAATAATCATTCAATGCATGTGTCAGGCACGGAATACGGATTACTCAATCGAAGCGTTGTTGTGAAAAACGAAGAGACCTAAAAAGAAAACAAAATTCAATATAATATGGCAATCCACGTATGACGACACACATGCCAATAACATCGGTTGAGAAATGTGAACGGATTGTTTTCATTTAGCTAGTACATCACACATCTTTTTAACATGATGACCATTCAGAAACCCTTGCCATGATAGTGTTCTACAACGAATTTTATATTCATGAAAATATGGCAAACGAGGTATGACGATACGCATAATGTTAACGGATTGTTTTCATTTAGCCAGTAGACCATACATCTTCATGATGACCAATAAGAAAACCTTCCATATCAACTCTAACAAGTCGGCAGTTCGAAGTGTGGAGCAACATATGGTCAACGAATAATGACATTGTGTTTTATTAATATATGAAAACATCTGTCTTCCATAGGACAACAGCCTTCGACGACACACTGCTGTCGGGGAAGCTGGAAGCTGTCGCGTCCCTTACAATAATACTTGACAGGGCGAGGAAGTCTCTAGTATTCTGGACTGGTAACGAACTCGGACACATATGAGCCACCAGTGGCCGCGATCGTGTCGAACACGTCCGACCACGATAGCGCGAGGCATTGTCTGGTATGCAGAACATGCAGCAGTAACGATGGAACGCCCTGTGAGAACCACCAGTTTGTGTCAAACCGTCGCCTTGCCGAAGTCCTGACCACCAAATGCGCTGTTATAGAGGACACATAGCAGAAAGAGCACAGGGCACACACCAATTCTTCAGACGATCGAAAAGGCCATTAGTAGAGGTCGTACCAATGCGGACATATGTATGGTTAGGCAATTGACAGCGTGAGTTAGTCTTCACTGGTATCCCGAAGAGCTCGAGGCATCTTCACTATTAGTAGACGCCTGACCACTGCACACATTATGTCCGGTCAGGCCGAGATAGTCTCTAGTACTCTGGAATGCTAACGAACTCGGACACATATGGGCCAGCAGTAGCGATTGTGTCGAACACGTCCGACCACGATAGCTTCAGGCAGTCGTTGTTATCGTGTTGAACACGATGACGACGGAACGCCCAGTGAGACAACACTGGAGACTACCCACGCAGCTTGGACTTGACAGGGCGAGGCAGTCCCTATTCTGGACCGGTAATGAACTCGGACACGAGTTGTGCAGAAGGTCGAAACAGGCGCCAACAACATTTGAGAACCATCGGTTTGTGCCAAACAGTCGGCAGTCCGAAGTCCAGACCACCAAATGCACTATTGTAGAGGACATT